TTCAGCTTTGGCAACTTCCAATGGAAAAATGTTTACATTTGGAGATGGAGCATTTGGTGTTTTGGGTCATGGAGATCTCGAGAGTGTTCCATATCCAAAGGAGGTACAGTTATTGAATGGACTAAAGACAATAAAAGTAGCATGCGGAGTTTGGCATACTGCAGCTATTGTAGAGGTTATGGGCCAGTCTGGTCCAAATGCTTCATCTAGAAAGTTGTTCACCTGGGGTGATGGTGACAAACATCGTTTAGGTCATGGAAGCAAAGATACTTATCTTCTTCCCACCTGTGTCTCTTCCCTTATTGACTATAATTTCCACCAGCTAGCATGTGGACACACTATGACTATTGCCCTCACCACATCAGGTCATGTGTTTACCATGGGTGGCACTGCATATGGTCAGCTAGGCAATCCAAGTTCTGATGGGAGAGTACCTTGCTTAGTACAGGATAAATTGGTTGGTGAGTTTGTTGAAGAAATTGCATGTGGGGAATATCATGTTGCTGTCCTGACATCAAGAAGTGAAGTATTCACTTGGGGAAGAGGTGCTAACGGAAGGCTGGGACACGGGGATGCAGAAGACCGGAAAACTCCAACTTTGGTTGAAGCTCTGAAAGATAGGCATGTGAAAAGCATTTCATGTGGCTCAAACTTCACATCAAGTATATGCATCCATAAGTGGGTCTCTGGAGCTGATCAATCAATTTGCTCAGGTTGTCGACAGACATTTGGTTTTACTAGAAAGAGGCATAATTGTTATAATTGTGGACTGGTCCATTGTCATGCTTGTAGTTCCAAAAAAGCACTGAGAGCAGCATTGGCCCCCACTCCTGGAAAACCACATCGTGTATGTGATGCTTGTTATACAAAACTTAAAGCTGCTGAGGCTGGTTATTCTTCTAATGTTAGTAGGAGAGCTACAATCACCCGTTCAATGGATAGCAGGGATTTTCTAAACAGGGGAGATATAAAATCTTCAAGGATTCTGCTTTCTCCCACTATAGAACCCATTAAATATCTTGAGGTCAAGTCGACAAAGCCTGGGGTCAGATCGGAATCTCCTTCTATAATCAGGGCTTCCCAAGTTCCATCTCTTTTACAACTAAAAGATATGGCTTTTCCAAGTTCATTGAGTGCGCTTCAAAATGCTTTGAAGCCTGTTATGACAACACCTCCTCAGCCCAATTCAAGATCTACTTCACCATATTCAAGGAGACCAAGCCCTCCACGGTCTGCAACTCCTATATTTTCTAGGAGTGTTATTGACAGTCTTAAGAAGACAAATGACATTCTGACTCAAGAAGTATCGAAATTGCAAAACCAGGTACTAGTTTTACACCTTTTTGTTGCATCATTTTGTTGGTTGGTATAGAAATGTCAAAGCCGAGAAGCCTTCTCTCAGTAAGCTTTCCTCCGTTTACTTCAGGTTAAAAGTCTGAAGCACAAGTGTGATGCTCAAGATGTAGAGATACAGAAACTACACAAACATGCTAAAGAAGCTGGTTCATTAGCTGATGAGCAATATTCTAAGTGCAGAGCTGCCAAAGAACTCGTCAAATCCATCACAGAACAGGTTTATTAAATTTTCTCGATATTCCAATTGTCATTTTTTTTGTAGAGAAGATGCTCGTGGCAATAAGATGGGGTAATGTAGTCATAACAATAATTAAAACACAAATGTTTACTACTAATGCCTGGTGCAGTCTGAAATACTATTGTAATTATAGGGAAAATTAGCTTTTCAATAAAGGAAAATATTTGTCGCATGAATATTTCCCTTGACAGAATAACAATGGCATTGAAAAGATAATCATCTGCTCTTTTCAACCCCCTTACCCCATTGAGGTGAAATATGCTGATGTTATGTGTTCTTTCTTTGTCGTTCAGATGAAAGAATGGGAAGAGAAGTTGCCTCCTGAGGTTTCTGACAGTGATACTTTCAAAGAATTGCGTACTCAAGCTGAAGATTTTATAAACATAAGTATCGGAAGATCAAGCTTAGAACTTGAACAACAATATGCAGCCGATAAAACTTCCTTGGATTTTGAGTCTTCTAAAACGGAAGACAACAAAGGAGAAGACCCTGGGGAGGCTGAACCTCAAAACAGCTCAGAAAGCCACTCGAGATCACCCGAATCATCAACAATGCGGTCAGGACAAAAGGAAGTCATTGAACAATTTGAACCGGGTGTTTATGTAACTCTCCTTCAACTACAAAATGGTGCTAGGGTTTTTAGGCGTGTTAAATTCAGGTAAACTTTTCTTTTCTTTTCTTTTTTCAAAATTCAGTAATTATGTGTTTGTGTTAGACAGCCAACAGACCCTTAATCTTTTGGGTCAAAGGGTTCTCTAACATGGTATCAGAGCTCTTTGTGTAGGAGGTCCTGAGTTCAAATTTATGGTCCTCATTCCCCACTGCTATGTTGATTTTCAAGGTGCATAGTGGGGCTGCACTTATGTGTTTCTTCTAGGAGTCACATTTTCTGCACCTGCATACTTCATTCATTTCCTTAAGTTAATTTGTTATTTATGACAATGCAGTGTACCCCGAAGTCTTTGATCATTTTAATGCCGTTCTCATTTAATTGTCTCTTACCAATCTCCAATATCTCTTGCAGCAAACGAAAGTTTAGTTCGCAACAGGCAGAAGAATGGTGGACAAATAACAAAGATAGGCTGCTTAAGAGATACAGTCAACTGAAGGCAAGGGCAAGTCCTGCCCCAAGTCTACCGCCCAGCAGTCCTGTACCTGCTGCTGAGGAAAACAGTGAGGCTGCCTTACCTTCCACTACATAGTTTCATAACTTAGTCTCTTACATTACGGTTTAGAAAGTGGGTAAGTAGGATCAAGAATCTGCTTTAGAGTGGCACTGTATGAATCAGTTTAGGTGTAAACATATCTTTGTTCAGAACAAAATAGATCAAGAACCTTTTTTCTTTTTAGAGGAATGATTGAGATGAGTTCTACTTCACCATAAAAAAAGAAGGGAACATGCTTCATATTCAGAGGGACAGGTCAGAACTGTGAGAGTTATGCAATTTAAAGGCATGAAAGCTTCACTATAATTCTTTCATTCAATTTAATCTGGTGATCTCTTTTTCTCCTGTGCTGTTTCTGGCATCTGATACGATTGTAATTGTATAGCAGGTGAACTTCTTACGATGCTTATACGCCGTCGGTCGATCTATATAGCTTAAATACTCTTAGAGACATCACTAAATTGAAGTTTTTGCATGAACCTGTTGACTACTAGAGGTGCTGCTATCAATTTGGGTGGTAAAAATAAATAATAAGAAATCATATTCACCTAAGTAACATTAGATTGAAAAACTGGAAAAACCACTAGTTGCCTTGCCTCTACATAGTTAGCAGCAGCACCTTCATATGCTTCATATATGTTCAATAATCTTAGACCAATTTTATCTGAAGATGTATCTTACTACAAATTCCTTTGCTTTTTACCAATTTCATTTTCTAAAATCTAAATGCCTCTTTTGGAAACCATGAGTTATGAGTTTGGTGTGGACAGGACAGGTACTGGTTGAGAGTTATGATTTTGGTGAGAGATGTGAGGTTTTTTTCCTCTGTTTTTCTTTTTTCTTTTGGCATTTTGTTAGTTTGAGGAAGGCCATCCGATTTCTTACCCAACTTGGATATTTATTGTCCTACGTCTCCAATCCAACTAATGTTATCTATCCAAGTCGGGCAAGGCCAACCAAAGTGTCGACCTCAATATTCATATGCATTGGTGAGACTGAAGTTATAAACGTCACCTATTTCTCAATTATCACAACACGGTTTGAATTCAATAGAGCATGTATGACTTTATTAAAATTATTAGATTTAAGGTGGTTGGCAATATCATTTCACCATATTTATACCACCGATTTCCTGTCTAAATCATTTCTTATCAGTGGGGTATAACTCCGTTGGTCGAGTTCTTGAACCTCCATCTCCATGTGTAGATATTCAAAACTCTCAAACACCCCGAATAAATATTTGTGTAAAACCCCTCTCCCATCATTCAATTCCACCATATTCCACCAACAATCACCTTAACATGACACGTATGAAAAAGTGTTGTGTGCAGACGCAAGTCCAAAAAGCAATAATCAAAACAAAAGTACTATCATGGATGAAAAAAAAAACAAACTAAACTAAAAAGAAAAAAAAAAAAAAAAAAATTGTAAATAGTTGCACCAAGTTTGGCCTTATGTGAAGTTTGACCCAGTGGTACTTATGAGTGAATTTTCAAGTTCACTTCTCTCATCAAGGCAATGGTGTATATTTGTGTTGAGTTCGATATTTAATAAATTGGTATATTGTATTTATATTATATACATATATTTTTTCTAAATATTTTTGTTTTTCATACACATCATAAAAATATGAGAAAATACATATTATTTAAATCAAACAGACAATTCACAAATTATACATATTCTTCATGTATAACAAATGTAATTTTTTTTCTTCTCTAAAACAGGTTGAAATCACGTATTTTCATATATTATTAAATAAAACAAATATACACTATAAAATTTAAATAAATAATATTAAAATATTACATAATTACCGAATTTTTCAACATATTTTTAAAAATTGTGCCCAATAATACACACATGACTTGTTGTAGAAAAGTATTTTGTAAGGACCTTCATATATTATAAAGTAAAATAAAGAGTTTGACTCTTGACATCTTCGTTGCTAATTTACCAATATTTTCGCTATAAAAAATATCTTCGTTGCTAAGGAAACGAATTCAATTAATTTTCATCATCCACTCGTTTCATCATTTGTAAGGAATTATTTATATTTATTTCCATTTGGAACAAGTTCCGTAGAAAGCACAACACTTTTCATTCCATTTTCCAGGGAATCCGATCTGATTTTCCTGGAAAATTTTTTAGTTTCTAGTTTTTCTGGATTTAAAACCCTCGCCCCTCAAGTTTTGCTTCCAAAACCCGCAAGGTTATTTATAGTTCCTGGTGGGATTTCGATGGGGCTACAGCAATCCAAAGACGAACTGCTCTATCAGCAAGTTAGCTATGGAAACATCGAAGGGATCAAATCCCTTTGCAGAGAAGGCGCAGGCCTTGAGGTAATTAAAATGGAGGTTAATTTCGATTATTGTTAAAACTGTAATCACGATGTGTTTATTGGTAGTGATAATTGTTGTAAATTTTGGATTTTTTGGGTAGTTTTTGTTGAATTATTGATGATTATGGTTATTTTGGTGGTCAGTGGATTGATAGAGAGGGGAAAACCCCATTGATCTTGGCATGTATGAATCCCGGGCTTTATAATGTTGCGAAAAGCTTGATTGAACTTGGCGCAAACGTCAACGCCTATCGCCCCGGTATGTTTCACTTCTGAGTTTAGAGCTTCTGTATTTTTTTTTTCCCTATCACTATCACTCTTGTTAATAAATTAATTGCAATTTGATAATTTCTTAGTTGGGTCGATCATGTTGAATTTTATGTAATTGTATAGGGAGAAGAAAGAATGGTTATTGAAAATTAACAAAAAATTTGCATTTTGTGGTCATAGATATTGAGGAACTGTACCAACTGCAGTTGTCATCTAGAGCCGGACCAGGCCATAGTTAGTAGGCAAACCTTTCCTCTAAAATGCAGATTCTAAGTCCGAATCCTCCCTCCAAATATTGTGTGATTATGGGGAACTCATGTTGGATTCACATGTATACTACAATCATAATGGCAATAGCACCATGGATCTTAAGTCCTACCTAGAAACTTATTGCGTAATATTTGCTGCTTATTGTGTTTTACCAAACATATAAGAAACTCATCTTGTAATTCCCAGTATTCTTGAGAAATGCTATTATATACTCATGCACCTTGATCTTTAACTTGCTTCAACGTTTTTATTATTATTTATATTTTCCTCTTTTCAATGCGCTTTAGGTCGCAATGCTGGGACTCCTCTGCATCATGCAGCTAAAAAGGGGCTAGAAGATATTGTTAATTTACTTCTTTCACATGGAGGTGTGCAATTCTGTCATCAGTTCATCTCTGCAAAGTCTTATTCAGAAAGGAGTTTATGACTTGTGATTTAGAAAAAAAAAAATTGCAGTTTCTTTTCCTGCTGTCTTTATTGCATTAATATATAATCTGTTCAATTTTTTTTCAGCAAATGTGTTAATCATGAATGATGACTGTCAAACTCCTCTTGACGTTGCTAGGGCAAAAGGGCACACCAATGTTGTCCGTGCGATTGAGGTATATTCAAACATTAGTTTGCAATGTCAGTATGTGCATATTTTTTACATTCCAACAATATGTTTTTCATTTTCTTCTTTTAAAGATGATTCTGCACTCTTTATCTCTTGCTTTCTTTCTTTTTTCTTTTCTTTCCCAATGTTTGTAGAGGCATATTTGCTTATTCTCTGGTTGGTTGCGGGAGTTTTATGGTCCTGGATTTCTTGAAGTACTTGCTCCTCAGTTGGTTTCAAGAAAAGTGTGAGTATTATGTACAACAAGTGATTTCATCTTGAAGTATTTATATTTAGTCGTTTTAGTTTTCTATTCATGCTCTATGCAGCAAGATGTCTAAGCAGTATAGGCAGATTGCTTTGACCTGCTTTGGAGAAGTTTACATAGCTCTCATTTGTTTTATCTATTTTTGTATCTTTATTGAGTAATTGTCTGAAAGATCACTTAATATGCGTGCCTACTATTTCCTTGCATATTTTGCAGCTGGGTTGTTGTTTTGCCAAGTGGTTCCCGCAAACCTACCAAGCCTTTCAAGTTGGAACTTGCCATATATTCTAGTATGCAGGTAATACTAAGTATACTCGGCTATTCTTAGGTGGATTAGGCATTATGTGTGATTTTACTTCTTTCTACATTTTGTGCCTCTACTAATACATTGCATTCAAGTCATTCCTAATGTGAGCTACATTGAATGGTTTCTTGCAGATATCCTGGACACTAATTTGAGTTTATTTTGTTGAAAGAAATAGCACTTGATTAATTCAAAACCTACATGAATGTCTGGATGAGTTAAATCTGATGGCTAATTTTTGAAATTGGATAATTTCTATGAATGCTACTTTTTTTTATTTTTTATAGTAGCGTTCTTAAATCTTTATTTTCGCCATCATTTTAATTGACGAGCTCAGGTCTCTTTTTAGGATTAAAGATGTATTAGGCATTAATTTATAGCGCTGTCACGTCGTGATAGTTTTCTCAATCGTTTAAAGTTTATGCACTTGGAATGCTATGTCCTAATTAATACTTGAAATAAAATGACTTCACCATTTAATATTGCTTTTTGTATAACTCATAACAAATAATGATGTTACTTCCCCTAGGAAGTTGGTGAGTTGGTAGCCTCACCACTGAACTGGGATGTCCTTTACCCTTCATTGCCGAATGGTAGAACTTTCCTTTCCATCAAACCTCTTAATTTTTAAATTTTGAGCTAATATTTCTTGTTAGGATTAAAGTTGAATCCTTGTTTATTGCCAGTTGTGGGGGTCTAAAACTCCTAGTCAGGACAAATAATGATGGGAATGATAAAAATAAAATAATAATGCCAAGAAGTTAAGTATGTGAACTCAATTTCACTTTCAGAGAAAGCAAACTAGTTCAAGTAGTTTCTGCTCAATAGGTACTCCCTAACTTGAACTGTATATTCATCCGAATACCTCCTACTATACTCTTTACTTAAGTTCCATCGAAGTACCTTCCCACTCAACTCTTATCTCAGCTCTCTACTGCCATTCTTGGTTGAGAAGCTTTTGAAAGGCTAGCTTGTCTCTCTGCATGCATGCAAGCTTGATTTACGCTGTTGGCTCATTTCCTATTACCCAAACACTTTAATAGAATTAGTTGTCCAAAATCAATTATCTACCTTTCTCTACTCTAGATTGATGTATTTAGGGTGCACTTGATTTCTATGTTCTGCATTGTTTTATATTTTGACGATAAGTTAATTGATCTCTTATTTTGGTAGTATTCTTATATTGAACTCTTTTGGAATAAGCAGGATGCCCGACCACGGACAGTTGTTGCGTTGTGGAAAGTCAATTTGGAAGAACCGAAGTTACACCATTCTGATCCTTCTGTTGTAATTCATGATAGCTCCACAAGTAATTCCTTGATTCCAAAAATATTCTTTAGGACTAATTTTAAACCTTAATTCTTTAGGCTATAAATCTGGGAGTTGATGTGACATTCATTTCGTAGCCCTTTTTTAATTGAATTCTATGTCCGTGCTTAGTCCCAAGAGGCAGGAGGCGGAGAAGAAGCATTTACATCTCCCAAGAGGCTAGGTGTAGGCATCAAAAAGTTAGGCGTAAGTACATTGTTTGTTCATTACTTCCAATCAATGTAAATGATGAAAGTGATTGAAGAAGCACTTTAACAGAAGATATTGGACATCTTCCAATATCTTCCAAATTAAGTGCTGCGGTAATGTACTCATGCCTTTCTCCAGCCTCCTATCTATAATAGGCTTGCCTTCTAGCTAGGAAGAAAAGGAAGTTCCCCATGAGTTTTAGGTTTCTTTTGTTAATATCCTATTCAAACTCAGCATGCCTTCTTTGCAGAAACACGCATCAAACTTGCATCTGCAGATGAAAATGATAAGCAACAACTTCAGTGGTTTTGCAATGCATGCAAAGGAATTCCACAGGTAAATCTCATCTGCACAGATCTTATCTTTCTCTGCCTATGTCTAGAGCAATCGCCTCGATAATTAAATGTGACGAATTTGTGGATAGAACCATGTAAGTACTTTTGAAGTACTAAAATCATTAGTTTTCTCAAGAAATTGATTCTTTTGTAAAAATGATAATGGTGTTTGTAAATAAGCACTCTTTTAGACATCTTCTGCTGTCATGATCAAAGGGCTGCAGATAGAAAATGTGGAAAAGAGTGCTTATTTACAAACACTGCAATCATTTTCTCTCAAAATTCGAAATAGAAACTCTGTAAATTTTATCTTGCAGACTAGTGATTCGCTAAATTTTTAGGTCAGTATTTTATCTTTGGCATGATGATTGGGAGGCTATCATAATTTAAATTTGTGGAATTTTTCAGGCGCGTCCTGCATTTTTGGCTAACAACCAGCCCCCAGTTCCAGCAACTGCACCACCACCTGCAGAAGATTTTGAGTTGGCCATGGCTATCAATGCCTCCATTCAGTCTGCTTTGCAGGAGGGACCGTCCTTTCCTGATGCACACCTGACCAATGAAGCAAGTGCATCCAGCAGTGATAATGGTTGGGGCAAATCCTCCATGAATACTGGCAGCTATAGTGGTTGGGAGGCACCAATTACAGCTGCTGCTCCAAATGCAAGTAGTAGCAGTGAGCGGCCAGGGAATGAAAGTAGCCAGAAAACGGAAATCCAGGATATCTCTTCCATCCAAACTGCTCCTACTTCAGATATAATCCCATCAGCTCCACCAGTTGCAGATGAGGAGCCTATTCACTATCCGTCAATTGATTTCAGTCCTATTGATATGCCATCCCCAAGTGTTGAAGGTATACCTGCTAAACTTAATGAAAAGAAGGGTGGAAGTGATTCTTCTTCATGTGTGATTTGTTTGGATGCTCCGGTTGAAGGAGCTTGCATCCCATGTGGGCATATGGCTGGATGCATGTCTTGTTTGGGTGAGATTAAAGCTAAGAAATGGGGTTGCCCTGTCTGTCGGGGCAAGATTGACCAGATTGTAAGGCTTTATGCTGTATGATCCTCGAACCAGCATATAGTGAAGCTCTACATGGTTACTGCAACTTGAACACCTTCATGAAGCTGTTTGTATTTTTTTTGTGTGTAAAGAAGCTGCTTGTGTTTGTATTAATAGATGAAGTTCTTGTTGGGACCCCCACCTGAGTTTTCTGTACATATTATTACCACATATTAGTAAACCTTTCACCATGCTTTCTTAAGTATCAGTGAGCAGCAGCCTCTCTTAATTTTGATTTTTCATTGTTGTAAGTTGTATATGAAAATGATATGCATTTCCCAAAAGGTATATTTTCAAATATACTTTTTGGGGTCTTCAATGAATTCAAGCTATGGATTTTACTCCATGCAATTAGGGAGAACGAACTCTTTTTACTTCTGGAGCTTTAAACTAGTTTAGTCTAAGTAGTTTCTTTTATTTATTTATTTATTTATTTATCTATTTATTTTTTTGTTTCAATGGAAGAAAATCGAACCTTACATAATCCCAACTCATTTCAGCATCCACCATAAATATAATGAATTTCGTCAGACTGTGATATAGGACCACAATTTATGATATTCTTAAAGAGTTGAAATTTTGCATATGATCAAATATCGTATGGCATTGGGAAAAATCGAAGAAAATGGGACTGGTTTCAAATTGTGCTGTTCCTAACTTTCCATGACGCCAAGCATTTAAACAAATGTGAGGTCATGGGCAGTGGGTTGTAGGGTACCATGTTCAAGTTGAGGGATTGCTCTTTTCGATTGTCAGCCACGAACTATTGGTGGTATGCTGGATAGCTACGTTTCCTTGATTGCCAATAGTCTTTTTCTTTTTTTTCTCTGTGTTTTTTTTCTTTTGGGTTTTGTATTTTGAGAAGGAACATACTTGCTTTAAAAGTAGGAACTTCTATTTTCTTGTCAATCACAGTTTGACATGTGTGTAGGGATTTTTATTTTGTGTTTTTTATTAATTATTTTTGCATGTATCAAACTGTAATTTATAAAAAGTAAGAATATCTATTTCGTGGAAAGGAAGAAAGCCATGCCCTATTGAGAATGTCAAAAGATAGTGTGATCTAGTTATGAGCCATACATATGATTAAAGGATCTTAGGAATCTAGCCTGTTATGGGTGGCCATGGCAGCAGGGTCCAATTACTACATTTGTTGCACCTTTTTACTACAAAGAAATATATATATATGTACATTTATATTTCATCATCACCAGAAATCCATTACTCTTTTATATATAATGGTTGTCAACCACAAAAGACCTAATGGATGGTCGTGTTTCATTATTATTATTTTCCTTTTGCTAGCTAGCTAGCTTCTGACCCAAAAAAAAAAGCTAGCTAGCTACCTAGCTATAGCCTATTCCGTTGCTTTTGTGTGGTTGGAACAAGAAAGTCCACTCAATAGCAAATTTACTTGAACTCTATAATTTTAAGTTACACTGGGTGGCTCAGCTAGTAAGGAGCTGGGGTACAGTAGGGGTTTTTTTTCAACCACACATCTTGTGAGCCTACGAGCTAAGCTTCTATTGTGATCATCATGTCACAGATTTTCCAACCGTTTACTCATTAAACCTCTATGGGACTTACATTTAAGGTTATAAAAGTGTTACTAACGCATGGGGCTCGCTTACCTCTCTCATCAGTCAATTGCTAATTAGTTAGGGTTTGTTTTTGTTCAATGGCCAAAGTTGATTAGACTTAATTTTATTTAGTAAATTTAGGTTTTAGCCACTAAAAGATTTTCACTTTTGGAAAAAACCAAAGCTTTTTCAAAAAAAACCTCTCAACTTTCAAACCAAAGACATGCAAATGTAAAATATTCTTTAGGAAATTCAAAAATAAATAAGGGCAATTTTGTCCATTTTGGCTTCTTTTAAAAAATCTCTCTCCTTTGGTCTTTTCCAAAGTCTCCCCTGGACTGGACTGGGTTAAATAGCACTCGAAATCCTTGTTTAGTAAGAGACGGGACTAACTTAAATGAGATTGTATAGTCCAATAGTGAAAAAAAAACGCCTCACTCGCTCGTCTAATACAATGAGCATGAACAGTGGTTCGCTAAATAGCACGCTTGCTAAATAGAACACGTGAGTCCGACGTCTCTCTTTGGAAAATATTTTAATTTTATTTATTTTCTTTTATATTATTGTTTTAGATTTTTTTTTTTGTTTTTATTTTTTAGATAAAAATCCTTAATTAAATTTAAATATTATAATAACTGTTTTGATATTGCATTTGAAAAATCAAACTATAGTAATTTACAAATGTTTGATATTTTTTTAGAGAATGATATTCTTGCCCTTAATCTCTGTGGTACATGCAAGCTAGGCTGAATGTCGTGGTTTGGCGATTTCTTATCTTCTTATCTTCTTATCTTTTTACCTTCCAAGAAGCACTCGTTGAGCTAGCAAGAAAAACAGAGAGTATTAGAGAGAACCTAAAGTTAAACGAGATCCTTAAGGATGCAGCCAAATAGAAATTGGCAGATTGGCTCATTGGTCACGGCATGTCTCACGCCTTATATGTAAACAGCTTTGACACGAATATTATTGTTGGATTCTGTCATTGAAGATGTGAGACTCATGGAAAACAATGACCCTAACGCACATTTTTGTGATCGTTTGATGCATTGTAACTAGTCAACACAAGCATGCTTCATTACAAAAACATATCACTAAAGTTCAAATAAGATTTCAAACCGAAAGAGTAATTGGAATTGGTGAGTTTCTTAAATTAAATTATCTATTTCTCTTTCACTATTAGCGTTAGAATCTCACACATAAAGTGTGGGATCCACCGTAAACCATAAATTTAAGACATGTTTTCTTGTTTCTCGAAATTCCAATAAATGATAATGGGTCTAAATAAGAATTCCTCATTACATTGTAGCGTAAAGATTCTATTGTGTTCATACGTATACAGTGCATCTGTAATTCCGAATGCCCTTGAATGAAACTTTTGGTTCACTACTGTGAATTTACACCACTTGCTACTACCCAAGAAGAGTAAATTCCATGTTTGCAATTTAAACTGGTTTAGTTTTGTCGAAAGTTAAACCTTTACTTCACATAATGTCCCATACTTGAAAAGATGGAGACATGATATCTCTATGCAAGTTACTTTGCTTTTTTCTTTTCAATAAAAGAGAACGAGGAAATAGGGAAAATGCGGGTAGGAAGCTATATCTGCTCCTTGCCCCGTACCCCTGCCCGGATCTTGATTTTGATATCTCTTTGCTGTAAAATTGAAGTTTAAGTCCTTTCATTAAAGAAGAAACACATGTAATCATGCTTGTACTGACTCGAATATTATGAAGATTTACACGTTTAATTAGTTGGCGTGTAATTGAAGTAATTCTCTAATCACCTCTTAGTATATTCAACTGTGTGAGTGTGAGTGTGAGTGACAGAGTGAGGGACGGAAAAGGAGGAGAGAATTCGAATTTCGGGATTTTTTTTTTCTTTTATTGTTTGGATTTTGAAACTTGATTCTGCAAATCAAATATCATTCAAAATGTTGGACAAGGCAAGCCTGATGCCTGCAACATATTAATGTTGTTGTTAATGTCTCCACGCTTTTAATTGACTTCCCTTCTTAGACCTAGCAACGGTTATGTATGTGCAATGTGAGATGTGTGTGGGTGAGCTAGAAGTGGTGCAATGTATAATTTCCCCTTTATGAAATTATGAATGGAGTTCTTAACAATTAAACTTTTTTGTTTTTTTGGGTAAATGACTTATAACTCAAGTGATTAAGAACATCAAGGGTGTTTTGCGATTTTAGAAGCGACGTGCCAAAACAACAATATGATCTTCTAAATATAAGTCTTGAACGAAAATATATATATATATATATATTTGAGCCACCTAATGATAATTAACAATTAAAACTCATCAGTTTTTTTTTTTTTTTTTTTTTTTTTTTTTTTTTTTTAAAAAAAAATACTATAAAAGATTATTAAACAAATCATTCAACGGGAAACCAAATGTTGATTTTCAAATTACTAATTATCGTTATAGTAATATATTATAATATAATTATTATATTTATATATTAAACTACATGTGGGTTGTGGGGGCCCTGCCGCCGCCCGAAGTTCTTCATTTGATTTCCCTTTTGACAATGTCATTGTCGCCTATATAAGAAAATAAAAATATTGAATATTTTCTTTTCATTGATCGTGAAAAAAATGTCACATATATTCTTATGATGAATAAAAGGAAAATGAGAGTAGCCAAGAGATAGTATAGAATAAGGGACGGCATGAGGGTGTGCAAGTGGTGCCATCGTACAGGACTCCTGATTTTTAAGGGTCTCGAAATTTTTTAATGTGTATATTATATATATGCTAAAAGTCACTTTTGGTCCCTGTAGTTTGACACTTCAACCAATTTTAACCTTGTAGTTTCAATTCCGTCACTTTTGACCTTGTAGTTTCATATTTGTAGCAATTTAATGATAAATTAGTATTCATGTCAATTTCTTTGACGGTGCAAAGGGCAATTTCGTCAACCCAAAATCCTTGAGCATAAAAGCTCGTCTAAAACTCCCATAATTTCATATTAAGGCTTGAAATTGGTCATTTGGGTATAGGGTTCTTCAAAAATTAGGATTAGTGGTTGAATTTCGAGCCCTAATATGAAATGAGGAGAATTTCAGACAAGCTTTTACGCTCAAGGGTTTTGGGTTGACGAAATTGTATCTTGCATCGATAAATAAATTGACAAGAATACTAGCATATCCTTGAATTGCTACAAATATGAAACTACAATGGCAAAATTGACGGAATTGAAACTACAGGATCAAAAGTGATTGAAGTGTCAAAATATAGGGACCAAAAGTGACTTTTGGCCTTATATATATGGGTGGTGATTTTCTCACTCCCTTGTTTTTTTAATACTTTTTACTATAAGATAAAATGGAGTGTAAGTGAACAAAAGAGGAGTGAGAACATATTATTTTTTTTAAATGGAGTGTAAGTGGATAAAAGAGAAGTGAGAAAATCA